AGGAAACTGGTTCCAGAGCCAGAGCCATAAAGGGAGGGGCACCACCCTTTATAATGTTATTAAAACAATCTTTAATTAAGGGGAGAACAGGTGCCACTCATCTGTGCCAGGTGATTTATTTGTCTTTAATTCTGATCAGGTTTTACATCTGAGCTTCTGTTCAGAAGAACATCATTGTGGGTCCGACCCAGCCACGAGTTCACAAACGTTTCAGTTTTACAGCTGAACTTCTACTTCTTGTGAATACAGTGAAAAATCTATGAATTTTATTTAATTTAGTTTTTTAATTAGTTTCATTCATTCATTTAATTAGGTTTTTTTTTTATTTGTTTGTGTTTGGGTCGTTGATTTTATGAAAAGCCCTTTCTTCTTCTTCTTCTTGTTGAGTAGTTTGTTCTTGTTGTGCAGTTTCTTCTTGTAGTGCAGTTTCTTCTTTTTGTGTTGTTTGTTCTTGTTGTGTCGTTTGTTTTTGTTGTGTAGTTTGTTCTTGTTGTGTAGTTTGTTCTTGTTGTGAAGTTTGTTCTTGTTGTGTAGTTTCTTCTTGTTGTGTAGTTTCTTCATGTTGTGTAGTTTCTTCTTGTCGTGTAGTTTGTTCTTGTCGTGTATTTTCTTCTTGCTGTGCAGTTTCTTCTTGCTTTGTCGTTTGTTCTTGTTGTGTAGTTTCTTCTTTTTGTTTCGTTTGTTCTTGATGTGTATTTTATTCTTGTTGTGTAGTTTCTTCTTGTTGAGTAGTTTGTTGTTGTTGTGTCGTTTGTTGTTGTTGTGTAGTTTCTTCTTGTTGTGTAGTTTCTTCTTTTGTGTCGTTTGTTGTTGTTGTGTATTTTGGGGGGGGGGGGGGGTGGCGCAGAGGTTAGAAGATGGGCTTGTGATCAGAAAGTCACAGGTTCACCTCCCAGTACCATCAACATCAAAATGTGGGTGGAAAAGGTGAAACACCCACACCCGCCTCCACCCTCACTCACCCCACCCTGGGCCCCTGAGCAAGGCCCCCAACCCCCACCATCTGCTCCCTAAACAGGTCTCTCTTGAAAATGAGTTCTCGTGGCTCAATGAGACAACCTGGATAAATAAAGGGTAAATTAAAAAAAAATCTTCTTGTTGTGTAGTTTGTTGTTGTTGTGTCGTTTGTTCTTGTTGTGTAGTTTGTTCTTGTTGTTGTTTGTTCTTGTTGTGTCGTTTGTTCTTATTTTTTTCTTTTTTTTTTCATTTAGCCTTTATTTATCCAGGTTAGTCTCATTGAGCCACGAGAACTCATTTTCAAGAGAGACCTGTTTAGGGAGCACATGGTGGGGGTTAAGGGCCTTGCTCATGGGCCCAGAGTGGGGCGAATGAGGGTGGAGGCAAGTGTGGGTGTTTCACCTACCCCACCCACAATTTTTGATGTTGTCGGGGCCGGGGCGTGAACCGGCGATCTTCGGATCACAAGCCCACCTCTCTAACCTCTGCGCCACCACTCCCCCCAAATTGTATTATTGTACAGTTTGTTCTTGTTGTGTCGTTTGTTCTTGTTCTGTGGTTTGTTCTT